CTCTTATCTTTACATCTCTCTCTGTCTCATCTTTATACAATATCCCTTTGCTTGTATAAAGATATACTTTAATATTATATTCATAAGATATATATATATATATATATATTCGGAGCCAATTCTATATGATCCACCAACTTTAAAGCATGTTCTGATTATAAGCAAGTCAGATCAATTTGCACCCTCACAGGGTACATACTTTTGCTAAGAAATTGAGATATAAATTTTTCCTGACGACAAGGCAGCGTGTTACCATAATTTAATTGTAATTGGTCCCATGAGGAGCTCAGTGAACATAAAATTAAAGGAAGAGACAATGACAACGTTTTGTATTTTGTTGGAAGCATTTTAATCCATTCATTTAGTAATCCATTTAGTGCACGCAAATTCTATTGGACGTGAAATGGTCAATATCGTCCGGAGGAACCATGAATTTGCACTTATTTTATTGATTTTTATTAGGTGCAGTTGCGATTTTACAAGCACAATACTACGTGAGTCTCACGAGATGGAATGATTGTAGTCGGTGGAATGATGGTTGTTGCACAATCATTCCATAGCTCTATCAAAAATTGAGATTAACCAAAATACAATATATCTAGGTAAGCCCACTAATAATTTTTATTCGTGCATTATCATGGATAATCTGAATTAGTTTGATTAAGAAACTACTTCGACTGAGACCGAGTCCAAGTCCAATCTGATTTTAAATTTGTTAATGCTTTAGTGTTATTTAATTATTTAATTCAATGCTTAATTTTAAATAAATAAAGTACTTATTCAATTAAGTGTATTTAATAACACAATTTGAACTGAAGATGATAAGCGCAACTTAAAATGAAATAAAATTTTAAGTGCACGGACATTACTTATCATTGAATTTTGAATAATAAAAATTTGAAGAGATGTCAAAAAAATATTTATTTTTTATTTATCACTTAAAAATTTCAGTATTTAAAATTCGCCCTTAAAATTTTCAGTACTTAATTTTCAATTTTATCAAATAGTATTCCATCAATAATATATTTCAACTTAATATTAATAACCGATAAAAGAAATATGAGAAATTAAATTGATATTTATCTTTGAATTAATTGTCTCCCATCATCATATACCTGGTGTATTAAGAACATAAATTCAAAAGTCGAAATTGAAAAAGAAAAGAAGAAGAAACATTAACATTCGTTTTGATTATAAAAGTTTGGACATCAACCACCACAAAAAAATTAAAAAACAAATAAATGAATAAATATATATATATATATTATATATAATTAATAATAGTAATAATAATTAGATAGGACTTAATAATAATAATAATAAGATACATAATGATTCAATGGAGTCATCCACATTTTATATTCTACTATTTACTTTTCTTAACAAGTGATTGTTTCTCCTCTCCAGGAAAAGCAAGTGACTATTTCTGAAAACCACCTTCTACCAAATCAATTACTAAACAATAAAATAAAAAATAAAAAATTAAATTAAATTAAAAAAAAAAAAAAAAAAACAAATGGTATAAGATGCGATTATTTTATATTTGTCGGAATATTCTGAATTACTAAACAAATCTTTGACGTGATGCTTTGTCTAATCCACTTTTGAGTGTTGAATCTTAAATCCAAATTTATAGACTTGGTATGGACCCACTACTAAAATCATGTTCATTGCTTGGCTGTATATCCACATGGATTCGGTGTCGTATGTAATCAAATAATATTTTCTAAATTGATAATGGGTAAATTTAGGGCATATATAATTATATAAAGGGTATATTTTGTTACATGGAATTAGAAATTTGAAATTAGAATTGAAATTGGTGAAATTAAAAAAAAAAATTGGTTTAATTATTATTATTATTATTATTTTTTTTTTTTTTTTTTTTGTCAAATTCTACCAATTTCTATTTCATCGAGCTGAACACACCCATAATATATTCTTCCTATAAAGTTCATCATTTCTTAGAAAAATGTCAATATTTCACCTAGAAGCTTGAAAACAAATCGAATCGTGTGTGGTAGACATGAAGATACAAGAAAAATATTGTTATGAGAATTTAAAATGTACAAGAGCTAGAAGAAAGGTTAAACAAATTTGTAGTTAATCTAACAATTAGTACCAAGAGTATTCTAAAGTAAGGGTTTAATTGTAAAATAGTCCTTGAACTATACCCTTTTAGCAAATATCCCATAGAAGGCTTAGTCCTCCTAAACTATATAAATGTTGAAAACAAAGCCGGTCGAGTAACTTACACTACCATTAAATTTATATCAAAATTAAAAATTAACCCTAATTATATTATAATATATGTCCGAATTAAAAGGGTTAATTGTAAAAAAATCACCTCAATTATACCGGTTTTGCCAATTATTCCCATAGAAGACTATTTGCCCCTTGAATTATTAAAATGTTGCAAACAGAGCCAGTTGTGCTACTCTCGTGCTCACACTATAGTGTGTAGCCCGATATACATATGGAGCTTATATGTATATATAAACAGAGGTAAAAAGAGCAATATATATAAAGATCTAAAGAGGAGAGGGTAAATGAATGCTTGGTTCAGTTTTTTAAGAATAATTTTATGTTTTTAAGAACTTAAAAATAAAAAATTGTACAAAATTATATTTAGTTGACAATTAGTGAGAACTATTTTCTGAAAACTCAGTTAAAGAGAGACATGTTTTCAGAAAACTGCCTTTTATAATTCTTTGAAAATAATATTCTGTTTTCTAAGTTCTTTAGAACTGTTTTTGACAAACTAAGTAAACCCTAAATATTTCGTGTAAAGAGATCAAGGGGTTAATGTTTATAAAGTCAATGAAATACATTAGAATAACTTCTACGTTGTACCCCCAACCAACAATATAGTTGCCCTTCCCTTTTCATAATAGGAGCAAACAATGTATGATTGACCCCTTCCTCTTGGTAAAGAAACAGACAATGTATAATTGGCTGGGATACTATTTTTTCAGGTACCTTCAAATAACTCTCTCTCTCTCTCTCTCTATATATATATATATATATACATATATATATAATATAATATATAGATTAGAGAACAAAAAGATTGTGAGCCATATACACATAAAAAAAATATGGTGAACTGGGTAGCCTAGTTGGTAGAGGTACTTCCTAAATCATCTGAGAGTCCAAGTTGGACTCACCCCTGTTAGAGTTGTGGCTCAAATTCTAGTCAATAATCTCATTCTAAAAAAGTGGAACTGTTTTTGCTCTATTGGAACTGGTTGCACTTGGGCAAAATGGTTGGAATGGTATTTCAAAGAAGTGGAACCGGTTGCACTTTAGTGGAATTGGTTACGCTTGCCTAATATGTGCAGGAGACAGTTTCCTTTTCCGTTTTAGAAGATAGAAGACATGGAAAAAAGGTTGAAGACCTACTATTGTAGAGTTGTACTTAATATGATAACTCCTTGTGACAAGTTGGGGAATTCTTGTCCAATAAAGAATTGGGTTTGAAAACTCTATAAATAAAGATGGGCGCGCCTGAGAGATTAGCGTTCGAGAAAAATGAGTTGAGTTTGTGATAAGAGAAAGCTTGTGTAATCAAGTTTAGAACTAAAGATAGTCATATGCTTTTATCTAGTTCAGATTATGAATAGTGTGTATGCAATCTTAACAACCCCATCACCCCCCTCCCCCTCTTTGCCAAGTAATATATATATACACACACGCACGCACACACACATAAATATATGTACACATAATAAATCTGTCAAAAAAATTTATATGTACATATAATATAGATATATAGAGAGAGAGGTTAAGGTTTTAAATTAGTGAGCTAGAGTGACGTTGAATCCAATTTTTTAGGGTTTGCAGAAAAATGCAAGAGACTTTCATCTAATAGTTATAGTCTAATGACTCACTAATATTTGTCAATAGCAAAACATTTGATAGTAAAAGGGGTACTGTGCAAAAAACTAAAATAAGAAAGTGATATGCAAAAAATTAATAAGTAAGAAGGGTATTTTTGCAATTAATTAGTTTATTTGGGGTTTTAAAAAAAATGTAAGCACTTAACCATCACTTGTTTGCCTAATTGTTATATCCTTCCTTCCTGTAATGGTTGCAATATTAGATACAACAATATAATAAGACTCACACATGACACGGGATAAGTGTGTTTAAATTTGACTTAATCGTGTTCGTATCATAATCGTGTCGCGTATTTGACCCACCAACCCATTTATAAATCAATTAACTTGTTTAACTAAACGTGTTAAATGATAGTGTCACGTTCATGTTAAAAATAACCCGTTTAACTAGTGTCGTGTAAAAAATGACTTAGACATGTTTTATCGTGTTGTTTCGTGTCGTGTCAATTCAAGTACTCTTGAAACATTTATTAAACAGGTTACGCATGTCATGTTTTGTTACCTTTGTAATAATCATGTATTGTTTGTGTCAATGTTTTTTTAACCAGATTTATAATCATGACGTGTTCGTATCGACCTATATAATAACATACTTATGTTCTGACAAGGTATGAATAGGACCCACGAACACAAATTGTCCCCCTAATATCCAAACGACTTAATTACTTACAAAAAGGTTTCTAGTGCAAAACTGTGGATAGTACAAGGGGGTGATATTCTAAAAAAAAATTAGTAGATGAGAATAATATGCAAATACTAATAGTTAAGTAAAGTTAGGTGTAGTGGAGGATTTCTTCAACTGGCTTTTTGGTTCCATGTGTTTGGAGTTTGGACCGATAGTCACCTTCTCTAATTAGAACAGTCACGTGTCTCTTGGGTAACCATTCAAAAAGGGACCGGGGATCCTCTTCCTTCAAAGAGTACCAATTTTGCAACATATCTTCTGAAATTAATTGTCTACACTATATAACAATCAAAATTAATATGTATAATGTATATATTACGTGTTACAAATACAAACTTTGGGGTAAATCAACTTATTTGGAATTTTCTTAGGGATTTTTTTATTAACATTTAATTCCCCTATATAAATGACAACCACCACTAGTAGTAGCTAGTATGAACCATACTTGTGAATCAAAAATTTGCAATGGTGTTTGAGGAAGAAGTAGTATCAGAGCCAGCGAGTCCTAGCTCACAGTACCTCAACAGCTCGGTGTTATCGCTCTATATCATTGCCGTTTTGGAATTCGAAATCCCCATTTTTGACGACTCGCTAACTATGTCACTGCTTAAGGATGTCTTCTTACCAATTAACCCGCGCTTTTCCTCGATCATGGTACTCTCTCTCTCACTCACTCTCTCGTGCATGTGTGCGCGCTTTCTTTTCTGGTATACTTTTCATATTTGCTTTCCACTGTTACGACTAGCTTACCTCTTCTCACCATCAATGGGATTTTACTTCTTAGCATGCATATATGTTACCCCCATTCAAGATACTTCGATCCCATTCCATAATCACACAAATTTGTGTGTTTCTTGGCTACAAATACGAAAAGGTTATACCTTTCAAAAAAAAAAAAAAAAAAACGAAAAGGTTATTAATGTAACATGAAACAGATGAGTCATGAGTACTGCATGTCCTATTTAATCTTGTGTGTGAACATCTACAAAATGACTCATCCGACCCGCTTTTTACTGTCTCAAATCAAAGTCACAATGTCATGAGTACTGCATATCCAATAAATTTTTTTGGATTATATATATATATATATATATATATATATATTTTGCGTGTGTTTCTTCTTCTCTTTTTTGTCATGGTTATGTTCAAATTTTGAGGCACGAATATAATTACTTAGAGGAGGACTAAACAAGAATTATATAGTTAAATTTAAAATTTCATTAGCAGTAGATCACACCAGTCGGTTAAAGTTAATAACGTAATTTAAATTAAAAAAAAAAAAACGAAATTTTATCTATATAATTCTTATTAGTCATTTTTTAAGTAGTTGTGTTCGTACTTCAAAATTTGTACATAATTATGAAGAAAAAAAAATGAAGAGCCGAGATAGGGACTGATGATGTCAATTCTATTTACATAAAATTGGTCAAAGTTGTGCCCCTTATCATTACTTTTTGTAATGTTCCAATTAAAATTCGATTCAACAAACATTAGTTAGGTCGTACTGCTGCTTGGTTCAATGATAAAAATTTGGATTGATCTTGTGTGTCCCTTTCATCCTATGTAAGCAAGACGAACGTATGCTGACCAAGTCATGTTACCGATGAATCATTAGTCTCATTTCGTGGAACAATTTTTGAAATATGTGTTGGTACTTATCTAAGATAAACTTTGCTTAACATAACAATCTAATCAACTTTGTGATGTGAAACTAAAATGAGTAGAATTGGAGAAAACTAATTTTAAAAATTAAACTATTTTTTTTTTTAATTGCATTAATTCTATTTTAAGATTCCAATTTAAAGCAGCCGAACAATCTTAAGCAATTTATAATTTTTCTTTTCCGGTTTAGATTGTTGACTAACAATGTAACAATTTTATCATGATGTTTGACAGGTTGGAGAGAAAAATGGGGCAAAGAAATGGAGAAGAGTGGAAGTGAATTTACAAGACCATGTTAAAGTCCCCATTTTCCCACCTGCAACGTCACCTGAATCTTATGATGAGTACCTTGATGACTATCTATCAGAGATAACCATGGATCAACTTCCACAGAGCAGGCCATTGTGGGAAATTCATATAATTAAGTACCCCACAAGCAATGCAGCTGGAAATATTATTTTCAAGCTTCACCATGCACTTGGAGATGGCTTTTCTCTGATGGGTGCTCTCCTTTCTTGTCTACAAAGAGCTGATGATCCTTCTCTTCCTTTAACATTCCCTTCCCGCCAATCGAACACGAAATTAGAGGGTGACTGCGACAACATTTTCTGGCGACTGCCACGGATATTCTCCGGGGTCATCAACACGGTCTTTGATTTTGGATGGAGTATTCTGAAGAGTAGTTTGGTGGAAGATGATCGGACACCGATCCGGTCTGGTGGTGATGGAATGGAGTTCAAGCCAATCGTTATAACTACGATGACATTTTCTCTTGATCGCATCAAACAAATTAAGGCCAATCTTAAAGTGGTAAACTATAAATTTTTTAAGCTTTTTAGTTACAAATTACTTAAAACTTTAGCATGCTTGCTTTCTTTTCTTTTTTTTCCTTTTTGGAATTTCGTATGTTAAATATATCTGTTAAAAAAAATAAAAAGTTATAAAGAAGTTACTCTCACCGTAAACTTACACCCTTTCTCCATGGATTGTGTGACATCATCTAGTCAATTCAATGGATGAAGGTACAAACTAATGGTGAAAATTTTTTCGTGGGAGACTTGCTCTTAAAAATATAGGAATTACATTTTTTTTATTATTATTATTATTTTATTTTTTATTTTTGAACAGACGATAAATGATGTGCTTGTGGGGATAATATTTTATGGAACTCGGTTATATATGCAAACAACAAGCCAAGATGAGGTGAGCAATTCACAATCAACAGCACTAGTGTTGCTCAACACTAGAGCAATTGGTGGATACAAGTCTGTTGATGAGATGGTGAGAACTGATACTGACAAAACATGGGGTAACCAATTCGCATTCTTGCAAGTGCCCATTCCCACCCTAGCCAATTCTGAGCAACCAGACCCTCTCAATTTTGTCTTGACTGCACATCAATTAATCAAGAGGAAAAGAAACTCTGCAGCGGTTCATCTCATCGGTAGACTCCTAGAGACACTCCGAAAACTCAAAGGCCCTGAGGTAAAAACCCATAGTCTCGAAAATTTCACAATTAACGACACCTGACTATCAGGTGTCTCACACAGCATGAATCCATGACTTTGTGAGACATCAGACTAATCAAGTATCGGTAATTGTAGCACTGCTGCTATAGTATTGGTTTTAAATATTTTTCAAATTTAACAAATTAATGATTGTGCCTGTTTGATTTTTAAATTGAGAAGGAAAAAAAAAAAAATCCTTCTTTCCGAAGTTGAAAAATATCTATGACGAATTTGGTGTTACAGGCAACGGCCGGATATATTCATAGCACACTAAGGAACTCCAGCATGGGAATCTCAAATTTGATTGGCCCCGTGGAGCGAATGGCTTTGGCTAATCATCCCATTAAAGGCCTTTATTTCAATGTGGCTGGTGCTCCACAGGTATATTGTGCACACGCATGTATTTCGACCCTGATATATTAATTAACACGAAGAATGCTACTAATAGTCGGCGTTATTCTCACAACTACGACTGTCACTGGCACTCCTCTAATTAACATTTAAATGCGATGAGTTCCATTAAAAGTAAAGTTTGTTTGATAATCTTTACTAAAGAACTTGACTGATTGATCAAATGTACGTAGTAACTGCAACAAAGTGTATGTGAATTTGCAGAGTCTTTCGGTAACAATATTGAGTTATACGGGAACGCTGAGAGTTTCCATCGGGATGGAGAAGGGCTTCATGGATCCACAGAAGTTCAAGTCATGCATTGAAAACGCCTTTGAGATGATGTTCAAAGCCGCAGTTCCATGTGCTTCACCAGCAAATTAATTACTGTAGTAAAATAAAATATTATTGTATTTGTGGTTCAAGGCAAAAACATTGCTTTACTTCCAAATAAGCCAAATGAGCATTCTTTTTTTAAATAAAATCATCTCTATTGCTGTTAAACTTGTGAATTGCCTGAAGAAAACCAAGATTTTGAGACCTGGAAATATTGAGATTCCAAATAGAATATATATATATTTTTTGGTAAAGCAATTTATACATAACATATAGTAAGTACAGTGTGCCTCCTAATGGGCAAAAGGAAGCCCAGCAAGCTAGGCTTCACAAACGGGCCAAAACAATCAGCCCAAACAAGTAATAAAATCATGTCCCAACAAAAAAAGGCCCAAATGTTTAGGCCCAACATAAGAGGCTTAAACTATGATATAGTCATTGATAATGTGGCTCAGCTTTTTCATAATTTTCTTAGCCACACTCTTAATATAATTTGTCATTTTAAACCACAAATTAAATATGCTATCATTCCAAAAATTCACCAAGGGATGAACAATAGTGGATGTTTAGAGTATAATATTTTTTTTACCTATTTAAAAAGAAGAAGCTATTAGTGGATGTATAGGCTAACAATAGATATTAGAGCTAGTTTGGGATTATTGTTAGAATGTTAAAAGAGCTTTTAATAGTAGAGTTATAATAAAAGTGCTGTCAGTAAAACGCAGTTAAGCGTTTGGTGACATATTGTATAAAGCACTTTTTATACTTGAAGCACTTTTAAAATTGTTTGGTAATAATATTGCTTAAAACACTTTTATTACTTATTTTACTATATTACCCTTACATTAAACATATGATAATTCATTAAACATATGATAATTCCTTAATATTAATACAAGTTATGGTGATGCAGATTGGCACTATTGAGATTGGAAGGCGGCTGAAGAGTCCAAAATAAATTAGGATGTTTGTTTGTTACAGAGTCCCACGCATTATTTGCTATTTGTTTGTAGAATCCTAAAAGGGATAAAATTGTATTAATAAAAAATATAAAGGGATTAAATTGTCTATAACAAAATTAGTTACCTAAAAACACGTACCTCTACCCGTAACACAATTTTAAAAGTTACGATTCTTAACTTTAATTAAACGCACTTTTTAGATCTAACCTCTACCATCTTTAAGAGCTTTTTTTTTTTTTCACCAAACACTTTGCACCGCAATTTTTTAAAATAGAATTGTTTTTCAATAATAGAGAAGCACTCTGAAACACCCACATAGCGAGTTTGAGTATGATAGTAGTTATTTGGTACATAATTATGCTTAATTTTATAGTAACCAATTTCTAATACCCTATTTGAATATAACTAATATTGTGTAATAGGCTATATTTTTAACGAATTTTATATACTAATTCAATAAAAATTAAAATTAAAATTAAAATTCAAGATACAAAAAGTAACTTGCAAATTTGACCTTTTGGATGGACTCAAGATTCTTTGTGTGATTTTAGGTTAGGTGTATCTTATTAAACAATGCAATGATAAGAAAATATTTTAAATTAAAAATGCAATAATTGCGTGTCATTGAATTCTTAATTTTTCTTTTTTTTTAAAAAAAATATATCATTTCAAAGGCACAAAAGCCAAGCGAACGGCAATACAAAAGCAAAAAGCCAAGTTAAAAAAGACATACAAATCATGAAGCAAAGTAATAAAATAAAGAATAAATTCTAGATCTGTGGAGAAAACAAAGCCTAAAACTCTGCAACGGAACCATCATAGGAGAAACACATCACACTGAAGTGACCCAAATTTCAAGCCATCATTAAGGCAACAGCTCCAAAGCTACCGCCACAAGATGCTCTGACGCTCAAAAAACCCCGCACAAGATCAAATCAAGAAGAAAAAAATCAAATCTAAGCGACAGAAAATCAAAACCAAATTAGACCAAAGATCTAGTTGGAGAAAACAACAGATTTGCCCATGTGATCCGAAAACGAACTCAACATAAACAGATCTAGCTGAACAAAACAAAAATGGCATAAAAAAACATCAATGGAGTGCACTTATTGAAACACACCGAGTTTATTGCAGCCATGGGAGGCAGCCATCATCTCCCCACTCCCATGGAAGGGAGCAGGGAGCCACAAAGTGAAGAAGACGAAGGGGGTTAGAGAGAGAAAGTTAGAGAGAGATAGGAGAGAAAGTTGGGGCGCGCGTGAGTTAATCCGTTGAATTCTCAATTTTAATTATGTTGCATCGTCGTAATATGATATGTACTATATTGCATTATCGTTGTTGCATAAGTGTTGTATAAGTTGGTCCTACGGATGGCAAAAATCTCCACCTCGGTAGGGTTTGCCTTGCCCCATTTAGGATAGTTTTTTAGAGCCGATTATGTAAATGGGGAAGGGAATGGCAATGGGGGGTGCTTTAAAAAACCTAGCGGGTGTTGGGGCGGTTTCGGGAAAGGGTTGACCCGCCCCGCCCCGTCCTGGATATACTATAAATTTATTTAATTACCTTAATATACTATGATATATTACTAAAAGAGTAATGATACTTATATCAATGAGTTAGGCAGAATTACTATGCATACTAAATTTAATTGGTTATTAATGCATTAAATAAGAAAGTGGAGGTCACACTTTCTTATATATGTATTGACGAATCAAATGTAATAGGCCTAGCAATTCTGTCTAACTCAGATCAATGGGCTATTGGCCTAGCGGTATCGATCTCTTACTTCCCAAAGAAATATCAGGGGTTCAAATCTCAGAAGAGACATGTGCGTGTGAATACCAACTAGGAAAAAAAATTCTGCCGAACTCATTGGTGTAAGTATCATTACTCTTACTAAAATAGTTTAAATCTATATATATACATATGTGGAAACCCTAGCCATCATTTTGTTTTATGTCTCAAGTCTTAAAAATGAGAAGCGCGAGTAAGAATGACAAAAATCCCCACAGTGGCGAGGCCCTGCCCCATTTAGGGGCGATTTTGTGAAACTAATTATATAAATGGGGACAGGAATGGGCACTACTTTGAAAAATTTGACAAATTTTGAAGCAATTATAGGAGTAAAAAAATTAAACCGAAATGAGATCCCCCGAAAAAAAAAAAAAAAAAAACCACCCCATTGCTGGCCCTATTTGGTAAATTATGTGAATGTACGTATTAACCAAACAAGGAATGACTTGGTCGAGGACAGCCTCGCTACTATAACCAAACGCCCAAGTTACTTGCGTTTTGTCGGCTAAGCTGTATCTAGGGTTTCAAATCCATCGCTATAAATTATGATATTCAGCCTCTCTTCCCCACTCCTCCCTTTTCTTTGAACCTCACAGAAAAAACTTGCTCTGTCTATGATATATCAGGCTCTTCCTCTCTTAAAATTCGTTTACAGTGTCATCATGTGTGTGTGTGTGTGTGTGTGTGTGCAGCTATATATATATATATATGTATGTGTGTGTATATATGCAGTTATATATGTACGTTTATATAAAGGGGATCAATATGAGGAATCAAACGGAGCGTGATGATCAATTTCATGTGATCAGTATCTCTCCTCACTACGTTCTTTCTGATTGATTTATTCCTCTAATAAACCTTTGATTTATTCTTTCTTTTTATATTATTTTTACAAGTAATTTTGGGCTAATGTTGTTCCGGGTTGAATCATCAAGATGATGAAATCAGAAAATCTTAGGACACCTTCTGACACAGCGTTCAAATTCTGTGTATGAGAAAGATTTCTGTTCTGATTTATGATGCTGTTAATCATTACCCAATGAGTTTGCAAGATTTTTTTTTTTAAAGTTTTATAAATACTTTTTAAATTTATTTAACTAGTCTCCTAGGAATTGCTAGGCATTATTGTGGTTTTTTTGCTGTTCCTTTTATTTAGTTATATTATTTAATCTATATGTATATATATATATAAATCATCTCAAATATATTCTTTATTACTAATTTAATTACTCCGTTCTATGAATTTTTAGGTTTGACTTTGTGCAGAAGGATTCAATCAAACTTGTTTGTTTATGTAATTTGAGTTTACAAAAAAAAAACAAACTTCTTCTAAGTCCATTAAAAATTCATTTTAGTCTTCCTTCGAAAATTCAAATCTAATAAAATAAAATTTGTCCTGTAATTTTTTTCTTTAACCAAATGTATGAAATAAATACAGTGGGCGTCGGCTTCCCAAAGGGCTAAGTAAGAAAATACTTTGACAAATAGGACCATTGCTACTGATGTTGATTTGTTCGGTGGGGTGAACTTATATTGAAATGATAAAATTGACTTCTATTTATAAAATCATTAAACTGTCCAAAATGAGCCTGCTTTTAAAAATCTATCATATCACTCGAAGTATGCCAACTTTTATAATATGGTATGTTCAGGTTACCCTTTTAATTCTTTAATAATCAAGATACCTTTTAAACCCCAAATTAAGTCTCAAATTTGTATTATGTAATTAAATTTTAATTTTTATAAAATAATTGTAGTATAATTTTTTATATTTGGATGTCAAAAAGTCTAAAGAGTTCCGCTTATAAGTCACATGATTTCTTTTTTTAGGGATTTGGGAGAGTGAATTAATTAAGAAAGAATTTTTTGTAATAAGGAAATAAATAATCATTTTTCTCTCTCTCTCTTCTTTTCATGTTCTCTTTTTTTCTTTCTTGATTAACACTCTCAACCAATATATTTCTTCCACCCTCTTGGTTAACTAATTCTTGAAAGATTTGATATTATAGTCTTTTTCATAACTTATTCAATTGTTAAGTATTTTGAACTTTAAGAACTAAATGAAAAGGTAAAGAATTCATACCCTTTTATAAAAATCAAATTGGAGGAGTTATGAAACTTTTCTTTTGTTTATAGTGAAAACAATAACTCTACTTTAGTCCAACTATACGGTGAGGAATAAGAGCATCAGTTCTTTATTTCTCATGGCCATATTAGTTGCCTCACTCTTGAGCTAGAACTGTTGTTTGTTGGAAGCCATAATGGTCTCAAGTTCATTACAGTGATGAGACCCGAGCCTAGAAATAACGAAGATTAACCAAGAGAAAGAAAGAAACAAATTGGTTGATGGTGTAAACTAAGAAAGAGAGAACGGGAGGGAAGAGAGAGAAAAAAAAGATTATTTGTTTCCTTATTAAGATTCTTTCTTAATTAATTCTCTCTCCCAAATCCCTAAAAAGAGAATCGTGTGGCTAATAAGCAGGAGCTCTCGCAATAGTGTTACTTATATTATTATTACTTTGATGAATTTTTTTTTAAAGTATCTAATTAAACAGATCTCACAATGCTTAACAAAAATAAAATTATAATGATCAGAATAGAGAAATATTTTAGCAATAAAAAAATAAATTTATAGTTAAAATATTAAAATATATAATATATATTTTTAATACCCAATGTAGATTAATGGATAATTTTAAATATTTTTCTTATAAACACCATCTTAAGAAAATGTACGAGAATGAGAGGAAATTGATTACTTTTGTTAGTTTTGGGGGTTTATTCATTAGTATAGGGGTTATGTGGTCAAATTGATAAGTATAAGGGGGGTTTAATGATTTTAACCCTTAAAAGGATATTTTTGTCAGTTGGCTTTTCAGCAAATAAATGGAATGGGGTGATATGATGGTTTTTTCAAAAGCAATGGAGTTTTTAGATAGTTTTTATTTTATTTTATAGTACTGGGGGTTATACAATTGTTTTAAGATAGTAATAAGGAGTTTATGATTTAAACCCAAGATATTATTATATTGTATAACGGATTACTTTCCTATTTTGTCATAATAGTTATATTTTCGATCATTACCAGTTGTGACATGTGTTATGTCAATCTTTTAAAGATAATGTATGTACATAATATTGCTTTCAAATTATCATACATTTATTCTACATATGCCTCACAAAATTTTCACCTGTTAGAGGTAGGAAATTTGAATTCCCTTGAGGCGTCAATTAGGACTACATATGCCTCACAAAATTTTCTCTTTTCATATCAGTTTTGGTATCCATTTATTTAATTTTTAGGTAAAGTACACTAAACCTCACAAAATTTTCACCTGTTAGAGGTAGGAAATTTGATGCAAAAATTTAAACTCTGTTAGTTGGCTGTTTGAGAATTGACTGTGGGAGTAGGCACGTGACCCATGTGCTTGGTCAAAATATATATCGCCATATATACGACTGTTAAAAACCACACACATATACACATATATACATACACACACATAAATAGGGAAAAATCACGTAACCCATATATTATCATTTTCGTCCAAAGAGCGCCTATCAAAATTAAACACCTCGGGAACTATAAAACGTCATCACACTGTTTCATTTACATTTAAATAAGTTAAGTTTATATAAAATGACAAATATACTCCTATAATATAATTTGAAACTTAAATATAAAATAATTGTTATTTTGCAGCCATCATCGTCAATCCAAAAACATCAAAACCGAAAACTCTAATTACCGAAACCCTAATTCCCCTAACCTTAAGTCCGACACCACCTGTTCCATTGAAGCCACAGAATTAAACTCACTAATTGAAGACCCTAACCCTTGAATTGAACTAAATCGAATTGAATCAATTAAATTGAAGTTTGCGTATTCCAGAACGAAGAGAGAGAATGTAGAGAGGGAAAGTGACGATGAAGTGGGAGAAGGAGAGAGAGAAAAAATACTCTAAAATGGCAAAGATTTGCAGGGTGTGCTCTGTTTTTCCTTGAAGGGAATGGTTAATGGGGTTAGGGCTCTCGGGTGCACAATTATTGAGATGGCTACATGGTCTAACCCCTGGGAGGTGAATGATCCTGTGTCGGCACTTTATCGAATTGGGTTTTTCGGCGACGTGCCTGAGTTTCTGAGGTGGTTGTCAGAGGATGCAAAGGATTTCTTGAGCAAGTGTTTGAAGATAGATTAGAAAGAAAGGTGGACTGCTAAACAACTTCTTCAACACCCATTTCCAAACGATTTGGAGATGAGTTATGAGAAATTAAAAAAATTTAATAAGAATTCTCCAATTAGTGCACTTGATGAATGCTTCTGGGATTCTCTGGAGCTGTCGGAAGACTCGAACCTCACCGGAATCTGAACCACATGGGTTCCTCTTCCGATCTTTTGGCAGAAATAATTAGGCGTCTAAATGGTGGGATGAAGATTGGATTACAGTCAGATGCAATCAGATTGAGGAAAACATCAAATTTTCCGAGGAGAATCACAATATGAATACAGATGATAGAGAGTTAATATATATATAAATATATATATATACACACATATATATGCACACATATGTAAAATATATGTATATATAGCATTGATCACTCCGATCACAGAGCATCCACATTCACAATCTGAGAGTGCATCACAATAACAATGAATTATGAAGGTGAACAGAGTACACACGCTTATATATATACATATATATATATATACATATATAACACAAAGGAAAGGGTAGGGGTAGGGGTATTTTAGGAAATTTATTTATTTTTGATAAGCGCGTGTTAGTATAATCTTAAAGGCAAAAGGCAGGTTAACATATTTGAATGGGACAATGTGACGACGTTTTATATGGTTGAGGGGGTGTTTAATTTTAGTCTTTTTGGACGAAAATGATTGTACAGGGTTATGTGATTTTTCCCCATATATATATATATAAATATTCATCATATCGTACTGTACCCGAGAACCCCCAAATTCGAAGCCCCTAATTTTCAATCTCAGCAAATCCTCTCTCGTTCGCCATTGATTTTCAGCAAATCCTTCTCATTTGCTCTCAAATGTCCATACCCAGGTGACTCTCTCTCAAATTTCCATATCCAGTTCAGTTCCATTGCTCGTCTGTAAGCTCACCGGCATCTTCCAAGTTCATCGCCACCATCGCCGTACTTATTGAAGCTCCCATGGGTTCATCCTTGCTTTCCGGCCGCCGTTTCACTTCAACTAACTGCCGTCTGCCCCCGTGGTTCAGCGCCGCCATCGCGAACAGTCAATGTGTTCGTCGGGACACTCGCCGTCGCCGAGCACCTCTGTCACTACCGCTGCAGAACAGACCCATCTCTCACCGGGTTGTTCCTTGGTCTTTGTTCCTTGCATTTCAGCATCATCCATTGAAGCATACTGTTATCACGGAGCACATAGGTTGCAGTTAGTCACGGCAGTCCAGTGCGCAAGGCCAATCCTTGCTGTCGCCGGTTCTGTCCTTGATTCTCGCCGGTTTAAACCAAAGGGACTTATTTACGGACCAAAACAAGTTTTACTGTTCGTATTGATGCCGTCTTCAACGAACTGAGAGAAAACAAAAGTCGGGTTAGGCTTTTGTCTATACCTTATTGATTGGGACATGTTTGGGTCATTGTTTGGTGCTAGGTTGCTGGACATTGTTTGGCGCCGTTTTGATACACACATTCTTATTGATAGGGTTAGGTGTCTAGGTGTCGCATGTTTATTGGTTCTACATACCCACATAGGTTATCAACAACAAAAAAAAAAAGTTAAACGCGCCGTTCAACTGAGGGCTCAATGGTCTTTTTCTTTTTCCATTAACGGCTGTTGACGGATAGTTAGTGCGTGCAACAAAGCCATAGTTTGGTTCGGCGGTTTTGCTTACTTCAGGGAATTTATTTACCCTAATTTTATTATACTCTCTTCTTTTTAGGTTGTATTTTCTTTATTATATAGATAAAATTAAAAATAAGAAAAAAATTATCATGTGTGCGCTCTTATTTAATCTTCAAATAAATATATAAAATAATTACACTAACCTCGCCCAAAAGCGTAATTTTATACAACGACACTAACCAACTGAACCGGTTTCTATTGGATCGGATCAAATGGTGTTGAACTTAATCGGCTTAGATCGATCATCACCGTGCGTGTCTTCAAAACTGCTTCTTGTTTCTCTCAGTTGTTCCCATTTTTTTTTTTCCTGTTTTTTTCATTCCCACCTCAAACTCAGCCTCTCAGTCCCACTTTGAAGTCCCTCATATATCACTTGAAGTTTTTTATATTATTTTCTCGTCTCTTTGGAGGTATTGCTCGAACTCTCTCTCTCGCTCTCGCACCAATTTTTAAGCATACAAGTGACATGTTAAATTTAGAATCTTTATGTTTTCAAAGTATGATGCTATAATATTGGGTTATGCATAAATTGATGCGTTGTCTTCCATATGTAATCACTTGTGTGCTACATTGAAGGTGTTGTGCCATTGATAGATTCGGCATTGTTTGATGATGAATGTTTTGATTTACTTGGCTCTTGTATACTCTTTCATCAATTGCTAGGGTTTCTGAATGAAGCAAGGTTGTTATGCATGTCAGTGCCTTAAGTTGACCCAAAATAAGAAAATAAGAAATATGGGATTAAAAGATCACAGTTAGCTTTCCAATGAGCATACCAAATTTCTGATAAAATGCCGTTATATCTTGTAGGATGAATTAGTTACATTTAGGCTTTTGTTTGGTTGCCGAGAATATTGAGGAAAAGAGAAGAAAAATGTGACCATTGGTCCATAGATACCTACATTTAAGATTTATAATTTGATTACAACCATGCATTATAAATTTATAATATAAAAATAGAAGAAAAATAATACTAACAGAGTTTCAGTGTAGTATTCAAGACATATCAATGTTGGGATACTGAATACTTATTTGCTATCACACAAATTTTTTTTTTTTTTTGGCGATATGAGCAGCTACAGAATAGAGCATTGTTTATCTTTAATGTTGGCGATATGAGCAGATATAGAAAGTTGAAGTCACGAGTTTCATTAGTAGCTCTCTTGAAAAAAGACAATGGAAAACTAATTAAGTAATGTGTTGTTCAGAGCTAAAAGTTTCTTTTTTATGTTCTATCTATTGAGAAATCTCTCAAGCGCGGAGGATTAATTCCAAATCAATGGTTTTGTATAGGTGGGGGATATACTGCAGAAAAGTGAAGTGACCAGGAAAAAAATTAACAGTCGGGACTCAGACACATACAATAAAGTTCCAAGTGTTGGACTTCTATTGGGTGGAATCCAATGTATTGTGCAAGTAGTTTCAAGCAATAATTATAATAGTGAATGAGTATGCAGAAGGGTTTTGTTGCTGATAACAACAAAGCGTTTATTACATTTACTGATCCTGGTAGGTCTATCAACATGAGTACAATCTGCCGCTGTACTGTTTCAATACTGACCATATAGAAGTATATACATTCTTTAAATTTGATGCAATGTTCATCATGAGACAATGACTTAATGGAACGATTGTTTACCATCTTATTTGTTCATGTATGTGGAAGGGCCCATGTTAAGACCTGGTGTCATTACTATGTTCTAAAATGTCTAGCTAATAGAAACATAAAGGATTTTCTATGTTTTCTTTGGCATTTCCTGATCATTGTTGCTCCTTATCTCTGTCCTTTTTAATCCTGCAATATGAATAATTATATTGAGTGTTTGTCCATGCAAATTCGCTGGGATTTTTTGTTTTGTGGGTCAAAATTTCAGGCAATCCAAATTATCTGCGGCATCTCATTCATAAGTATACAATATCGTTTTGCAGTTGTTAGAATAACAACATTGGGCAGATTGGGCCAGTTACGTATGGGACATCAAACCTACTGTTGAAGTTTTAGGTATAAGTACTTGGGATTGAATCCCACCTCTATTAACATTAGGGGTTTATGGATATGAGACCATATGGCTACCCCACATTATTTAGTCCGTTTTTCCCTCCAGAGAAAAAAAAAAGACAACCATTCTATTAAGAACATTTGCTTTACTGTGTTCTGAATCCTTTTATATGAAATTATTGACAAATTATTTTTTTGGCCTCTGTGAGAAAATGTGAAGTTCTGCAAGGATTTAGAATTTTCTTTTCCTAATCATTCATTTTCTTCTTGAACAGAGGAACAAATTATATTCAAGAGAGGCATGAGGTTACTTTTTGGCATTTAAAATGATGAAGTCATTGATATTTCCGTGCAATGTATGTATCATCTTCTTAATAATCTTCAATTTCACATTGAAATGGTAAAATTATTTCTTTCTCTAAATTAATATTACTTGGTGAATTTGTAGTCTTAAATTATGTTAAAGTGTTTAGAATTACTGATTTGTACACGCTGCTCTGATTCTTCAACAACACACACCCCACCCCCCACCCCCAGTTTTTTTTTTCTTTTTTTTATCTTTGATACGTAATTTTTTTTTTCAATTTTTCTACAATAAGTAGCTATGACATTTTGCAAGGTTGTAATGAGTATTAGTTCCTTACAAAGTGTCGATCACTCGTTCATTAGAGAGCAGTAGATCATTTTCTTCTGATTCCTCTTTCTGTTTCCTTTCAAGACCAACAACTCTTCCTCGTGTGCTCTAGATAAATTTATTTATAAGGCTAGGATTCCCCAGACATCAAGGCTTTAACCTGGATATTCTAGATAAATTTATTCAATAGAGAGCAGTAGACCATTATTCATGAGAGGGTCATATGCTAGTGAGATGCTTCAGATTCCTTTATGCTTTAATTACAAAAGCTTTTAATGGAGATTTTTTTTGAAGTTCAATTTAATGAATTGAAATAATTGTAGCTCCTCATGGAAGCCCAGCAATGGGATTACTATCTTTTGGAAACCTCTGCTGTTGAGGACAATCAAGTTTAACCTGGTTAGGTACTTTTTTTAAATATGGGTTAGTTTGAAAATGGGGAGATTTCAGATACCACAATGGCAATTCTATTATGGCATTTCAAAATTTTTGGTCTTCTGTTAAGGCAGAGATTCTTGCATTTATTGGCGGTCTTAGAAAGGATTACTCAATGGGTTTCCAAATTGTTTAGTTGAGGGAGACTTTGATGTGATAGTTAGGTCTTTTAGATCCTAGCCTTATGGTTTTGCGATCATTGGTTGAGTAAAAGTTTGGAATTACTGTTTTACAACAGAACATTATATGGGCTTCAATATCACCAAATGAGGAAGCAGATTTCTTGGTGAAGAGAGGACAAACATTTTGACATCATTTGTAGGTCATGGTAATCCCCCTTGATATTTATTGAGAGGGTGATTTGGGGTCTCCTTGTTCATTAGTTGGATAGACCATAGTTCTGTTCTTGAACTCTCTGCAGAGGTCCATTTTCTTGTATCTTGTGCTTTTGTTTTCTTCCTATGTCTATATGCACTGGGGTGTCTCTCATCCTTTGGGTTTTTGTAACTTTCCTTATTGATATGTATATTTTTTCCTTATATAAAAGGAAGTTACCTTGCATATTTGAATAAAGGACTGTCTTTCTATTTTGTCTATAATGAGTCATACTGTTCATGATCATAGTGTAATTTTGTCTGTTGCTGTTGTTGTGATGCTGTAATTTCTATTATTCTTTTTCAATATTTCTTTCCTTAATTTATAATAATTCTCTTCTGATGTAGACATCGAAATTACCTTCTCCAAGAGTTGGACCTATCCAGGTAAAAGCAAAAGGATCAAAGATGGAGCTCTCTATAACTCGACCTGATGACTGGCATCTTCATCTCCGGGATGGTGACCTTCTTGAAGCTGTTGTCTCACACAGGTCTTTTTGTTTTTGTTTTATTTTCTTGTTTTCCCCTCCTCCTCTATCCCTCCAAAAGAAAGTGCACACCTGCACCCACACAAAAAGAAAAAGAAGTGCATATTTTTTCTTAATTTTTACTATGATTTACATTATATTGAGTTTATTTTTTCTTGCTGAGTTTGGCTTGGTTGTCCTATGAATGTTAAGGTTTGTACTTTATCTGATAATGGTATGCCTACAGTGCAAGTCATTTTGGAAGGGGAATAGTGATGCCAAATTTGAAACCTCCCATCACCACCACAGCTGCTGCTTTGGCTTATCGAGCATCGATCTTGAAAGCACTGCCTGCCAATAGTGACTTCACTCCTCTAATGACACTTTATTTGACAGATACAACGAGTCCAGCTGAGATCAAACTTGCTAGTGAGTCCATCTTACAGTTTTGTTTTGGGAACCTGATTGGAGTTCCTTTTTTTTTTGGTTGAGGCTATCAGCTATAGGTTTAGGTATCTTCCGCTGCCTTATTCTTTTAAAAAATGCGCAGTCACAACAATACCACATTCTTACCTAAATACTAACTACATCGGCATTTTTAGTCTTGGGAGTTGGGACATTATTATCTTTACAAGTCTTATTACTTTATACTTGGAAATATTTGATTACAACTTTCTGCGGATTTAATATTTAAACCCCTTCAACAACATAATATATATTTGCACCTGCCATTAATACTCATAATTCATTTGATAGATTTAAATGGAACTTTAAACGATTGAACCATCTTGGAAGTATGGATACGGACACGGGTACAACATGATACAGACACGGTAATACGGAAAATCTCAAAACAATAGGACACATATATATCAAAAAATAATAATATAATATACTACTATATTTTAAAAATTAATTTTTGCTAATTTTTTCCATATTGATTGAAATCACTAATTTGGATCTTAGAGCTAGATCTTTGTTGTTTTTATTTTCTAAAGTTTTATATTATATTTCTAATTAGCCCATAATATATTATAAAATTGCATTGGAATCACATTCTTCTAAGAAAAATAACTACAAAACTACCCCACAGTGACCTGAAAGTGTCCTAGAGGTGTCTTCATCGTGGTCCATGCCGTGTCCAACCAGGAAAAAATATTCAATTTTCCGGACAATTCTAGTCGTGTAGGACACGTGTCTGAGTGTCCCGACACCACTGCGGACCCCGAGGAGAAATTTCTGAGCTTCCTAGTAAACTATTAAAAATAATTAAGAATTTGTATTACAGGGATAATATAATGGTACTCTTTAACAACAATCTTTAATGCACACGTTATTCTAAAACCTTGCTGTTGATTTTCTCTTTAATTTTTCAATATTGTCAAATCTAAATTATCTAACGATCATTTCATCTTCTTGGTGGAATGCCAATACAAGATGAAGATTATTTAAATATATTCTAGGCTTAAATAAATGGAACTTAAATCCATTGGCTGAATAAAAATTTTCCTCCATATTAACTTCTTTGCTTCATGATAGCCATTGATACCTTGTTAGCTAGCATATGTTGTGGAGTTTAATAGTTATTTATTTATTTCATTCATGACATTAGTTCTTCTTGGCATTTGTGCAACTAACTTTGCAAACTTTTATCTTCTGCAATGAATATCACGTGCTTTATCCATTGTCTTATTTCTTTATTTCTGGTTAAGAGAAAATGGTGGTTGCTGTGACAGGAGAAAGTGGGGTTATTTTTGCTGTAAAGTTGTACCCTGCTGGGGCTACAACAAATTCTCAAGATGGTGTTACAGATCTTTTCGGCAAGTGCTTACCTGTTCTTGAGGAGATGGTCGAGCAGAATATACCTCTGCTGGTAATTTCACCAATCAAAAGTGGTAGACATGGAGTTTATTTTTTCATTCCTTTTTACTTTTTGCTAATAAAATTTGCAAGTAATCTTTCTTGTTCTCCTTTAATAGAATGGAAAATAAGGATTTATTGGAATTTTAAGAAGCAATTTTTTATTTTTGTGAACCCACCTAAAAAAGGAACTAGGCTTCGTCACAACTAGGCATCATTTTGCATTAATCTGAAAGTTGCTCTCGGTCTTTTGGTTAAGGTACATTCCTCTGGGCAATATTTACTTTTACGCTTGTAATGCATGGCTTTTTCTGGGCAAGAATTTGATAACATTGTAGGATGTGTTTGTAATGAATCAAACTAGTGAGTGATATATCCAATTGCTAATGGCGGATCAAATACATGCATCTTGTAAAATATTATCTTGCTTGTAGTGGTAGCTATGCTGTATCCACCAAAGCTTTGCTCCTATGCTACTAGCTGCAAGGAGGAAGACAACCTTAGCTCTGCATTTAGTTTTAGCATGTCTTGAACTGCAATGACTAAAAAAACCTTAGATGTGTACACAGGCAATTAGTCAATGACCTAAAGCCCAAAATGAAACCAATAGAACTCCTATCATTGTCCCCTGTTTTTATTAATTTGCATCGAGTAGGTTTTTGAGGCGGGATGTGAGGATCAACAGGTGTTTTATGTTTTGAAAAGCAATGGGAACTCATATAATTTTTTTCCGACTTCTCATTCATGGCCAGCACCATTATCCTTTGCGACATTGGTAAGGAGCGGTAGGTGTTTTTGTGGGTGTTCTCCTTGTTTTGCGGTAGTCTCAAGGTTGAAGAAGACTTATCAGTAGAAGAAAGAAAAAGAATAAACAAAACACGGATGGTTCTAAAACAGAGTGACCTTGGGGAGATAGAGGATGTGGAGGCTTTGGCCATTAACCTCTGGGGTTTAAGGTGGGTTTCCTCCACACGACCACACCTTCTAATTAGGTCTATCTTCATTCAAAGCGAAAACTGTATAGGATGTAGTTGTTAAAAAATAAGACTGGCAGGGTGGCAGTGGCTGTAATGCTCACAAAGGGAAGGCTCACTCTTATAGGAGCACTTTTTGCAGCCTTCGTTTGGTTTTAATGTCTACTTTTACCATTTTGTCTTTAGTCAAAAAGAGGCTTGGAAAGCTTCAAAGAGATTTCTTATGGGAACTGTCGGCGAGGAGTTCAAATATTGTTTGGTTGAGTGTATTATGGTTTATTTACCTTTTAGACATAAGGATTTGGTATTAAGAAGTTTAGGGTGGTTGTGGTGATTGTGATTTTGCTCTAAAAAGGCAGGCCTTGTGGCCAAGGGTGATGGATTAGAAGTTTGGGAGAGTAGGGGGAGGGTGGATGACATGGGAGGTGGGGATGGAAAGTGTCATGAAGGGTTGTGGAAGTTCTTTTATCTTTATCCAATTAATTGTGGCCAAAGGGAACTTAGCACAATTTGTGGTGTGATGAGGTGGCCTTGAATAGAAACTCAAGAGTTGTTTCATATCATGAGAGATAAAGTTTGGGAATAGAGTTCATACCTTTTTCGAATTATGGTGCAATATGGAGTCCAAGATTCAGATGGCCCTCCAGGACTGGAGTTAGTTTCATTGACTTAATTCTCAGATATATTCAGGAGTATCAGGTTAGAGAAGAAGGGAGATCCAATCTGATGGAATGCAGGCGGATCTTTAGTTTGTGTTTATTTTATGAGTCTCTAACTAGGAAAGGTAGGTGAGACTTCCCTTAGAGGAGCATTTGGTGTGAGTCGTACGCAGCGGAATGTTTTAGAAAGTTTTGATTATTTTAAAACAGATCTGTGTCTTTTCCAACTTTATTTATTTTAGCAATTAAACAATTAATCACATGCAGATAAAATAAAGCAAAGTATAAAGTTAGAAATGACACCAGGATTTTTAGCGAGGAAGCCCCAGTTGATAAAATACGTCAACTGTTTGTATAGGAAAAACCTCGTGGACTGTGCAGTCCAAAGTAAACTGATCCACTATGCTTGAAACAAAGTACACTGAACTTTGACTCTGACTCACACCCTATTGTTCTACCAAACACCAATTGCTGACAATCCTCTGGCTTTGCGACTCCCTGTCCAACAACAACTTGACCTCAAGCTTATGCTTGATATTTGTAGAAGAGTAGCAGGTAGATTAGACAACACTCCTCGAATGCTTCAACCTTTTCAAAGTGTGATCGCTTTTACTTCTGTTCTTCAATCGTCTGAATTCGATGTAGAAGTAGATCTGTTTTTGTCTGATCGATGTAGATGCAACTGCAACTGTATGATCACGATCAGGATTTGAACACCAGAACTTTAAAATCACTATGTGAATCTGTGTGTTTGTTCTAGAAAGACAAACAAAAAATTCTCTAAGAATTTCTGAAACAAACAATCTTTCTAAGGCTTTTAAGAATGATAACTTGATAGTGCAAAAGCCGTGAATAAACCTATGTGTATGACATGGTTTATATAGAGGTTTGCAAAGTCCTATTCCTTCTGAAAATAAAGGAAATTTCGTGCATAGGACTTGGAAGGAAAGTTTGATAAAAAAGGAATCAAACAGAACAAGGAAACTGAAAACCTGATGCTGTCAGGACTGCTGGAACCGGTTCCCAAATCTTGGTACCGGTTCCCAAAGGACAGAATGTAATTTCTTGAATTTCAGCTTCTTGAACCGGTTCCCACTTGACAGAATCCAATTTGAACTTGGATTTTTTGTTTTTGGAAACTTTGTAAATATACCTTATAGGTATTTATGTCCTAAGTGGGAAACAATGTCCTAATGTGTTGTTCTTTCCCTTTCGATGATCAACAGTATTTTCTTCTTATGAACAACCTTCCATATTTCGCAGTCGATGTCGATCTTGATATGGTAATTTGAAATTACAACTTGACTAGGACTTGTTTTGTTACCGAAATTAGCCAATTACAAAAATATATCTCACATTTGGCACACAAGGGTCCCCCTTAGGATGTCTTTTTCTTTGCTTGGATGACTACTTTAGTTGCTATAACGACAAATTAAGATTAAATGAGTATCAGATGGCTATTTGGTATTGCTTGCACAAAAAGGAGACTACTAGCCACTTGTTCCTACACTCATAGAGGCAAGAAAGCTATAGGGTCTTATTTGTTTTTTCTGTGGGATCAAGTGGATTATACCTGGGTTGGTGATGGATGTGTTGGGAATGTGAGAGTTATCAAAGGCGCATAGTTTGGATGGTTTGGGATGTTGTTCCTCTTTGTCTTATGTGGTGTATTTGGTGTAAGAGGGATAGGAGAACATATGAAGGGGAGGAGTTGCCAGCTAATAGGCTGAAGCTGATCCTTTTTATATATATATTTTCTTCATTGGGATTTAGTCTTTTACATTATCCATAATTCATTTCGTAAAGCTTTTGGGAGTTATGAGTTTGTGTTCTTAATTCTTTTGTAGAGTTTGTTCATATCGCATGGATATGGGTTGTTCTGCCATTTTTGGTGTCCTTCAGTGGTTCACTTGCTTTTCTTTATCAAAAAAATAAAAAGAATAGAAAAATGAAATAAGTTTACACGATGATATAAATGAATACTGTTATTGATGAAAAAGTTTGTTTGTACAGTCGTCACAAAATTGTGATTAATTTACGACTCTTATCAAATAAATGGATTTATAAAAGGATATTTAAGTCCTTGTTCCACAAAAATTAGGTTGAAAGTCTAAGCAGAGCTGCCATTTACATGTGGTATTGATTTGTCATACATGGACTCGTGTCTGAATGTCAGATCTCAGGTGCTGCTTTCAACTGTTAAAATATTTTCTATTAGTTTAAAGTTGAGTTTGAACGTATTTGTGTTGAGTAGTGTTAATAAGGGACTTCAAGTTAGAGTAAACAGTTGCAAACTAGTGGAAGTTAAAAGATGGTGCAGTCACTAAATCAAGATTTTGGACAAAACTGCCCTCATATAATCTCCATGTGCCGATTCTCATTCTCATTGCTTTGAAGCCGGAGCCCCTCCTGACAACTGTATTTGAGTCGGTTCACTCCTCACTCTACTAACACAGGATAAGTGATTATTGAAATCCAACTGCTGGTTGGGAGACCATAAGATTTTATTCTAACTGGTAGCTACTCGTTACACATAAGAAACAGTGTAGGTTTAAGACACTTCAGTATTCAGACTTGGAAGCTTTGGGTGCGATTGCTTCGAAATCATGCGTAAGAACTTGCTTAGCCATGAAACACAGCAATGGTTGGCTATTGAGTGGTACACTGGAGAAGGCACCATATTATGATATTATGTTTGAACTTCATGTGAACACCTTCTTAAGTATTTTTCAAATACCAGAGTTCTTTAATCTGCAGGTTCATGGAGAGGTTACGGATCCCGGGGTTGATATATTTGATCGTGAAAAAGTATTTATTGACACTGCTCTAAGACCTTTGATCCAGAAGCTTCCACGATTGAAGGTTGTGATGGAGCATGTTACCACCATGGATGCTGTGACTTTTGTTGAATCTTGCTGCGAAGGTATCCTCAGTCACTTGTAATCTTCTCACTCACCTTGTTTCTTTCCTCTCTCTCTCTCACGCTCCATATAATACTTGTTATATACTAGTTCCCTTGCTTTTCAACATTTGATCTAACTTCAATCATATTTATTAGGATCTGTTGCAGCTACTGTTACACCTCAGCACCTTCTTCTTAACAGAAATTCTATCTTCCAAGGAGGGCTTCAGCCTCATAATTATTGCCTTCCAGTACTGAAAAGAGAGATACATAGTATGTTTCATTCATTGTCTTTCATGAATCTACAATTATGACCCAGTTTCTATCGTTTTGACTTTAAACTACCAATTTTGTGATTTGCTATATTAAGTGTTGGAAGCCTGATTCTGTTACGGCACTGCCAAGTAAGCCCATTATCTATGGAAAGGATGCCTCACATGCACGTTTGGTACTGACGGCCATGTTACATGGACCCTTCAAAAGAAGTGAAGTACCCGTGTCGGACACTTCTTGCTTGGACATGGGTGTGAGATATGTGTCCGACACTTTTAGGTGGACATGTAATTTAAAAGCATATCCAATCGTTCAATTATATTATATTGTTGCTTTAAAATGAGTTAAATGCCTATATTGAAACACTATATTAAATAAAAACATTACTTTACTCTAGAAAATAAAATAATTAAATAAAATGAATATTTAGCAGTGTCCATGTGTTCTTCTATTTAGAGATTTGACACATCCGATACATGGATAGTTGGATACATACCCGTACCCGACACACGTACCCGAATCCATGTAACATAGACTGATGAGGATGCTAGCTGTTTAACCCTGCTGTGATTATCTAACATGATAAACCATGACATGAAAGTTTGTCTTTCAGACAGTGTCCAATAGTACAATTGTAATCATGAAGTTATCCTTGTTAAAATGCAAAAACCTTGCTCTTCCTTTTCTATTGCTCTGATAAATCAGGAATTTTATAAGAATAAGCATAAATACAGGAGAAATGGAGTTATTCCCCCGCCCCATAAAAACAATTAGCAAAACAGAGGATGATTCTCCATCTAAGCTCCTAGAAGAAGATGGAAGAGCATCCTTGGAAACAAAGTCTAATATATACAAAGAAAGGAATCCAAAAGGTTACTTAGATTTAGCACTAGGAAGCTGCCACTCTGACTCAAGCTGTATCTCACTTGATTTTATATAGAAATCCGACAGTAAAAATAAACTAAAGAAGTGCAAGTTTTAATATCTTATTTCTGGATTTTTATCTATCAAAAAAAAAAAAAAAAATCTTATTTCTGGATTTTATCTAGTATTTAGTTTTAGTTCTGAACTACTAGTCACATACTGTAAATTCTTTGGATTGGATATCAGGGCTGAGATATTAGTTTAATTAGGTTTTTCTAGAAGCTCATAAATTCTTTACAGCCACTTATATGGGCACTCTGAGCATTTTTGTGGCTTCTATTGATTCTCTGCCATGATTTTAGTGCATATCCAATCCAAGTTGACTCTCTTACGCGTTCCAGTAATAGAATCTGCATTTAAAGGCTTCTCAATGGTACATGCAATGTAGCTGAATCCCTTGGGGTTCTGATAATCCAAAGAAACATTGTATAATTTGACTTAAACTAAAAATTTATTTCTGCAACTCCTTGAATAGTTTCAATTTGTCAAATTCAAACTGGAACTTGTTATTTTATTTTATTTTTTTGGGTGAATGCTCAAACAGGAACTTGTTTGTTATTTTCCACTACTGATATGCATCATGTGTATTTGAATTCACCTGGCACAATCTCTTCTGGATACTTTTGAACCCTTCACTTTATGGCATCTTCTTGACGTTAAAAAATGATATAGTGGATGTCCCTGGATTATAACATGGCCTTGATCTTTGGCTCCATCTCGGAATCATTTTACACAGAAGAATGGTTGGAAATGATTGTTGTATTGGCAGTAAAAAGGTCAGCAAGGCATATGGATTACACCATTCAAGTAACGCCAGTTGCAGGCTAACGCATTAAGAAGTTTTGAGGTTATAGTCGAGCAATTTATTTTGCTAGGTTAATATATAGTGCTTCATAATTATGTTTCTAATAGAAGCGGTTGGCTATCTGTTATGGCAGGGTAAAATGCGGATATTTGCTATCATCTGTCCATTCCAAATTCAGGATTGGGAAATATTCTACATTGAGTTCTTTTTGACTTGATCTGTAAAATATATAAATGAAGTTCGTAAGGCATGTGGCCATGTGTCATGGACTAAACTCCACAAAGATTTCATGAATCTATCAGAAAGCATTACATGTCTAAAAACAGTTTGCATTGGCATTCTATAATTAACTGGTACAATTCAGAAACTATTTTAGGTATATCTAAATTTTTTTTTGGAATGATTGGATTATGTGGAATGAATTTGGTTTTGACTATGCTTAACTACAAAGGTCACATATCCTTCAGGAATGTTAAAAAATTGGAAATTTTGTTTGTTTGCAACTGTCCTTTCCCAATTTATGCTTCTCTCTCTCTCTCTCAAGCTCATTTATTTGTTTCCCATTTAGGACAGGCTATTGTGTCAGCTGTGACAAGTGGAAGTAAAAGATTTTTTCTTGGAACTGATAGTGCTCCTCACGAGAGACGGAAAAAAGAATGCCCTTGTGGGTGTGCTGGCATATACAATGCTCCCGTTGCCCTATCACTGTATGCCAAGGTTTTCGAAGAGGTGATTTATTTTGACGGCTGTCATGTTTATTTTAGCTTTTTCTATTCGCATTATTCTTTTAGGTTCACCCACAAAGTTGGAAATTCTAATGTGGTGGTGTTTGATAAGCATGCATATATTTTTCATTAGTCGAACTTTTAAGTGTTTGCACTAAAAGTTGATTTAACTGAGTGCATGGAGTGGAGCTTACTACTAGATGTTGTGCAAACACATGGTCAACAAATCTGTGACATCCCAAAGTTGAGCCTGACTTTTAGCATTATAGTCAGAAAGTTTAACACACTTGCACACAAGAAAGGGAAAAATGATACTCATAAAAGGAAGGATGCAAGGATCAGGGTATCACTCTGCAGAAGAAGCAAAAAGAAGAAATGTAGGGTACATAAATGTCATTCGATTCCTTTAAATTGCTTTTTTGAACATGAACACTAAGTAATTATTTTAAATGATGCTAAATTTTTTCTTTTTGTCGAGATATGATGCAAGTAGGGGCCATTGTTTGTGCAGTGGTAAAAGCTCAGGCTGCCAAACTTGAGAATGTGTTTGAGTTTTACTCTAAAGAGGACAGCCACTTTGTGTAATAATTATCAAAAGTTAGGTTAGTACCCTGTTTCTCCCTCCTAACGCCCTTGGTTAATGGTGATCAACATTGGTAACAGCTTTTTATGATATGATGCAAACATTTCGGATGCACAAATTTCAGCAAAATGACTTCTTGGTAGGACTTAGGAGGCTTATTGTTAGTGACATGAATGGGGTACATTTCTTGTTAATGAGAAAGAAAAGTTTTTGCAGGTTATATGTTGTTAGTATTTTCATCATGCTCTTGCTGATAACTTATTCATACTAGGTGAAATGTTACAAGATTCACCTATTTATTTGTTTATTTTAGGCAGGTGCACTTGACAAGCTAGAGGCATTTACAAGCTTCAATGGACCAGATTTCTATGGGCTTCCGAGAAACACATCAAAAATCAAATTGAGCAAGAACTCATGGAAGGTGCCAAAATCATACTCGTTCACATTTGGGGATATCGTTCCAATGTTTGCAGGTGAAACACTTGATTGGCTGCCATCCAGCGCTTGATCTGCGTAACTTGAAATCCAGAAGATGCTTGTGGCTTTTTCTTTGTTGTTCATTCAACTGACAGTACAAGGTATTGAAATTGATGCTGTTACATTAGAATCAGAAGTATTCTGACATTGTTGCTTTCTGTTATTATATCGGCAATATCCAACTTGATTTAAGGAATAAATAAATTTCATGATCCATCTTGTGATAGTACATGTTTATTGCGGAATTGGAATAATATTGCCATGCCTTTACAAAGCAAATTTGTTCAATTTCCAACTGCTGTTTATTCCGTGTTGTTAGAAACCAGTGAAGACGGTATAAGTTAATGGCCAGTTAGGGTAGCCTGTGATTACTGTTAGGTTCTTCATCCGTACTATAGGAGATGGCTGTCGTACTGCTACCCTACATCGGCCATTTTTAACACGAGAACTATTAATTTTCTTGAACAAGTGAGAAAAACCCTTCCTATCTAAAGCCTAAATGCCCTGCAATCCTTCTAAAGCGCTAGTGAGCAAGAAAACTGATCTCCTCAGTTGTAGCTCTGTATGTTTATGGTTCTGAACTCTGGGAAGTGTTGGATTGTAAAATGTTTTTTTTGTAAAATGTTTTCTAGATTAGTTTTTGTGCACAATTTCTTTATTTCTTCAGTGTTCTTCATCAAGGAATAGTACTGCCTAAACAATTCCCCTCTCTATCCTCGTTACCTTCTCTCTCTCCACTCTCTCGTCTCTACCCTAAACCATCCCTCTATTTACTCTCTCTCTCTATATCAGAACATGCTATTTACCCAAATATGTTCTTCTATCAACCCTAATTTCTGTCTCTCTCTCTCTCTCTCATCTCACTATATGTATACATACAAAGAGAGAAGACTAAAGATTAGATTTTAGATTGAGAGGACTGAAAAAGATTAGTTGTTAGAGGGATATAGGAGTATGGTTAGATGACCCAAGGTAGCATGTGTAAAATGACTTAGTTGTTAGAGGGATATAGGAGTATGGTTAGATGACCCAAGGTAGCTTGTGTAAAATGACTTGGTGAAACTTTTTTGATAAATCATTTTCAGTTATTTGGGGGTAAAATGATTTATATGGAAAATAATTTCCTAACCTTGGAATCTCCTAAATACCGAAAAATTGTTTTCGAAAAATATTTTATGGTGAAACAAACGGAGCCTGAATATAAAATAACAATATTATTAAATCTTGTTTTCATACCGTTATAAACGTTGTTCTTAACTAAAATTCTGATTTGATTGAAACCAAGATGAAACTGTTTCTTTTTTCACATTGTAGTTGAAAAATCTTATCGACTGATTTGTTGAATCCTCTCTTCCTCATCGCACAATAAAGGCTATGTTTGGAGGAGCTTTCCCGTTCCAAAATTCCTTCCATTTGAAGGCCTTTGAAGAATGCCTTTCAATTGAATGAATTTAAAAGAAAAAAACTGTTTGGGGGTGCCTTTTTTGAAATTCCTTTAATAATTAACCGTCTTTTAACTAGACAATTTTATCCTTCATAACTATCCAAATTTTTTTAAAAAACCCTCCAGCAATTGAAGTGAAGATCGTAGATGATGGAGGTCACCGTCGATGAAAAATTAAAGAAAACGATGAGAGCACTTGTGTGCGTTAATTCATAGAGACAGATCCGATAGAGAAAAATATGTGAAGAGAGAGACTAGGGTTCCAAACATAGATCTTGAGAACTAAAAACTTAAGATTAACTTCAAAATTAGAAAAGTATGATATATGAAGAATTGCGACGTATTAAAAAATCTTAGAGAATTAGTTAAATAGGTAAAGGATTATAGTATTAGATATTTTTATTTTCACGACAAAGAGAAACAATCTCATTAGTAGCAATTGTCATCGTTAAGAATTAAAAACTCATTGAAAATATAATTGTATGCAGACATGAGAGATAACAGGATGTGATAGTATTTTACTTTCAATAGGATCGGTTAATCCCAAGTTTAGTTTCAAGAAATCCCTTCAGAGTCCAATATACATTAATTTTAAACAAGAGAAACTTGCCATCCAATAATAGGCAAATCAACGATATTCTTCTGCAATTTTTCTAGCATTGAATCATAAGGATAGTTATGAGAACAATTGGAGATGGAGATTTGGGATCGTGGAGGTAGAGGAAGACAGACTTGTAATTAATAACACATTTAAGGCTAATAGGGACAACATAAAATAACTCATAGGATCAAATTTGTAAAAAATATATTAATTACTTAGAACTTGATTTTGCTCCCGAAAGGCCACCTGAAAAGCAAGTTTTTTTTAGCTTCGGTTGAACCGGCTCTTAGATCACTGCACTTCTTTTGTGAGCCTATTTAATAAATTTACCAAAAATACAATTTTTTTTGAAAATGACTTTTTGGGTTTGGAAGTCTGTTTTGGAGCCCTAGGAAGCCACACTAAACAAGGCTTAATTAATAGGATTTATCAATTTTGGAAAGACGATAAAGAGCTGCTTTAATGGTGAATTATTATTATTGAGAAAATTTCTCTCAGTAAATATCTCATAACTAGCTTGAAAAATTATTTTCTTACTTTTTGATGATTTAGTTATTTATTATTTTTTTTTAATTTAAAAATTGATGTTGATGGCAATGTTGACTATTTCTTTCTTTTAAGTCATGTAAATTTGGTATGCTGGTGCCAACATCAACAACATTTCCTACATAAAAAAAATGCAGAACGGGTTATGGAGACTGTGAACAAAGTACATATTTTTTCCGACAGTTTTGACAATTCCATTTTGACCCAGAACAACTTATTAATAAAGACCGACACAATTTTCATGAGCTAATGAGCTATACTGGTCTTTTATTTTTTTCTTGTTTTTTTTTTTTTTTGGCCAAATTTCATCGTTGGGCGTCAAAATTGCGTTCTTCTTAGTCTAAAGTAAAATTATAGTACATGCACTACAACAGCAGCAGATGGACGCAATTCATTATTTATTAACTAAACATCAGAATTATTTTCTTAGAACTTTAACTTTATGAATTAAAAGTTTCTTTGTAAACGTTCAAAGCTTTCTCATTTTATGTGAATCTGTGAAGTGAAGATTGGCTAATGTAATTTCCGGGAAAAAAGGAAAAAGATTGGTTGACATGGTAAGAACCACATTGCAAGGGCCCAGGCTGGGCCAGTGCCTGGTGGGTCAGGACCAGACCGGTTCAATTTCTGGTTCCCTCAGACCCATCTAGTCGCTTGCTTGGCTACTTAATTTGAATAACTCTATGTGCCATGTATGTATTGGATTCTTCTTTTTTATTTTTATTTTTAAAATAAGATATGCTTCTTTGTTTCTATTTATTTTTTCTAGACAAGCAAATGCATTATTATGAGCATTATCAGCTTAGTTGGTAGAGTGTACATCTCCCGAGCGGGGTGTGCTCGAGTCTCCTATTCCCTAATTTGTCAAGAAAAAAAAAGAAAAAGGAAAGAAAAAAAAAAAAAAAGTCATTACATAACACATGCCTATGAAATCTTATGGCTGAAATAGGTAGGTCTAACAAGCCTAAAGGTTCTTGGCACTAATGCTGCTTTTGGTGTAAAGGAATGGAATACCCATTCCAACTATTCCTTTGTTTGGTATGCAATTTAAAGTGAGAATGGTCATTCCATTAGAATAAAAATCTATTTCATAACTAAACCTATGAGATGGCCATTTCATTCACAAGTAAATGTTTTTTAAAAATTAACTTTTCAAAAAATCCTCGTGTTCCTAGTCAAA